TCGAAGCATAGCGCAATTGAGGGATGCGTAGGGGTGCTGTTTGGGGACCAAAACATAATTCGAGTCTGGGGGATATGCCCACCTGATCTGGTGGCGGTGATACTACACCGATAGAGCCCCCTCCAATTTCCAAGAAGGGCAACAACGTCTTGTTTCCATTGCGTAGAGTTGTGAACTGCACCATACGCTTTGTTGCGGCCTGCAATTTGATATTCACCTGCCGTCTTTGGCATATCATCGTTGAAGAAGCAAAATACAGCCCATGGGTTGTTAGTCACATAGTCAGGGTGGTTCGGGTACCAAGCTGAGATCCAATCCTGTTGCTGAGGGTTGAGCTTCCCCTGCCAGTCCTCGGCGGGAAGTACCGAAGGAAGTCCCAAGGACGTACCCTTGGAGATATCGATATGACCTGGTCGCATCGTTTCACTCAGGTGCCGTCTCAACGGGCGACCCATCGGCAGCAGAGGTGCTATTCGTCCGTCCCTCGAGCTGAGGCTCACGAACAGTGCCATCAAGGGACAAGGCTCTCCCAGCCGTTGCGGTATGGATACAGGACGGGCAAGCCCACTGCTGCTGCTGTTAGAGAAGAGATGAGGCATGCCGCGATGCGCTGAGGCTCAGGGAACCGCCAGGCTTCTCTCGAACACGCTACTGAACGACGAGCTGCACAGGGTTCTCAGATTGCAACTTTGACTCGGGCCAAATACCGTGCTTGGCAGTGATTGAGCCTCTAGCATGCACGCCATGTCAGCGGCTTGACACGATGGAAGCGGGGAGTCGTCTTCTCCTGCCTGTCGGACGAGTGACATTGCACGACATCTGGGCTCTATGCAATCACGTTCCGTCTGGGCCGGAGAACAGGCGGCCCCTCCCCCCCCCCCCTATTTCCTGAGCGGCTCCGGCATCTGACGTGGCTTGGCTTCTGCGAGCGAGCTTGGCTGCAATCTTGCGGACGAAACTCTTTTCTTTGCGCCTTACGGTCGGAATCTTGACAAAGCTGGATACTGCAACCCGGTTTTCAAAACTTGGTCCAATGCTGGGGGATACGCGACGGGAGGCTGGCAGATCATGGAACGTGTGGGTTGGATGCGACGAAGCGACCGCGATCATTCAGTGTGGGAGGGGCGGGCTCCCTCCAGGCGCGCGTGCAGGCGTTTGGTTCACAAATAAACTTGCTTCAGGGGGCTCAATGGAAAGCTCCACGGGCAGCAGGCAGCGGCGGCAGACAGATGTATTTGAACTCTTCGTGTCATCTGGGTAACTGGAGATACTTCGCATGCGAAGCCATCCAGACATGTTTGTGCTGTTGCTGTGAAGCTCATGACTGC